CCCAGCCCAGCCTCTCCTTCACATTCCTAGACTTGTGTGTTATCTTGTTAGACCAGCCCGGCTTTTCCTTCACAGGCTCACCTAACATCTGTGGTCACAAGAATGCAAAACAGTGCAGTTCTGCTGGCTGCTTCTCCCTATTTTGTCTGTCAACTCTCCTAAACCTGTTGACTTTCTCCTGAATTTACTAACATAATTCATTTTTACTAGCTAACTTGCTTTTACTCCTCCCACTTTGAGTAACACTGCCCACTGAGTAAAGCCCACCACTCAGTTTACCTAGCTCCAGAGAGGTTAGCTGGCTTATGCAGAGGCCCCAGATAGGATTCATAGTGCAGTTTGGAGGTGGGGTCCTGGCCTAGAAGCAGGAAGCCTGGTTCTGGCCTCTGCTCTGCTGCAGACATGATGCACAATCTTGGGCAAGCCCCTTCTCTCTGGAGCCCCAGTCTGCAGTTGTACAATGGGCAGGACACAGTGAACTCTCAGCCTTTCCAGCCTGGGGATCCCAGGGCTCCCTGGTCTTCCTGTTAAGACATGTGGCCAGACCATATAGATTTCCTGGAAGGCAGCGCCCAGTTTTGCAGTCCTCGGCACCATTGCCCACACACCAAGAGCATACTAGTTCTTAAACTGTGGTCCCAACTACTGATTTCACCACTAGTTGAGGGAGCCTTGAGAGGACTTCTGTCTAGTTTTCCCATAATCACACAGATTTAGAACTTGTAGCCCCAGGTGGGACTAGGATGCTGGCATCCAAATGGCCAGCCTTTTTAAGGAATGAGTCACCTCACAGGTCATTTCTAAAACTCCAATAGAAAGGCATGTCACACAGTGATCAGTAAATGTTGGCTGAGTGAATAAACACTTGTTTCCTCTACAAACACAAGAGTTCCATAGAATTAACAAGCTCAGGTCTGAACTAGAGAAATCTATTCCTTCTGCAGAACCAAAACCTCAAACTGAAGCTCTGTAATGCCTGGAGTATACCAAATGATAGTGGTCACTTTGTTGGAATTGTGTTATTTTTAAAAGGTCTGTGTAGAAGCTCTATTGTTGTGACATTCTTCCCTGGCCCTCAACCCAAATATTTAATAATCCTGTCTATGTGACTGCAGTGGGTAAGTCAGAGATCTGGAGTTAAATCCCACCCCTTCCACTTACAAGCTGAGTGGTTTAAGCTTCAGTTTCCTCTTGTGTAAAACAGGGTAAATAGTAAATTCCTCATTATGTTGTTGATTAAGAAATCTGCATCTCCAAAATTATTGAGAATAAGCACTTGTTTACTGTTAGCTAATTAACAAAGCAACTCTTGGATAGTTCTTCTCGTTTAGTCCTTCTATTCGGTGGGAATTATCATACCTATGGTCATGTACACCCAGAAGACAGAAGTAAGCCACCCATGCTTTCAAAGCTGGTAAATGGCAGGGCCAGCAGTTGAACCCAGGTCAGAAATACTTCCAAGCCCGGAAGATGGGGTAGTAAGCGCAGTAGGTTTGGAAGTCCTAGTAGTACCCCCAAGAAGTCAAACAAACTTGGTCCTGGCTGGAACCCTCCTCCTGCAGCATCTGAGGGGAAGGACAGTGCAGCTCTGGAGTCCCAAAGGGGCAGCTTAGGTAATCAAGAGTATGGAACCGTGCACATAGGAACCCACATACTGTACAGTATTTCCTGTTGAATGAAGCCAGCTTTGTAGATATTTTCACCCATTTTAACTTGATGCCAACATTTGCATTTCAGAATCTTTTTCATTCTTCCTGTGAGGACATTAGCACCTGGGTGGGAAAACAGAGTCTAGACTAGGACAGGTGTGAAGACAGAAGCTATATAACGTGTTTTGTCTCTCCCAGGAATAGATCTCTCCTCATCTACTGTTTTCCTGGAAGGTGTTCAAGGCACTGTTGAGCCGAGACCCTAGCCTTTCCATCCCTCACTAGTCTCAGGGACTCTTGGGCTCTTTCCCTAACACAGTTGCTCCCCAAGGACTTAAAAGGCTCAGCCCAAACTGCAGTTATATTGTAATTCATTTTCCCAGTTTCAGTTACTTAGAGCTTTTGTTCAGCATGTGCTGGCTCTGTCCACTCGGTAGTGGCTAGAATTCTAGCCCATAGTCAAGGGAGCTTAAGAATTCTTTGGGCCAAGGAAGCCTTAACGCAGGTAAAAGTCTTAATTTGTTAAGTTTTTGAGATTACTATAAATGGCTCATGATCCACTAGGGCTCAAGAAACAACAGTCTACAAGTCCCTATTTAAAAAGAAGGGACCACAAAATGTGATATATACATACAATGGAATATTATTCAGCCTTAAAAAGTAAGGAAATTCTAACATATGCTGAAACAGATGAATCTAGAGGACATTATGCTAAGTGGAATAAGGTCAGTCAGAAAAGGACAAAATATTACATGATTCCACTCATATGAGGTACTGAGAAAGTCAAATTCATAGAGACAGAGAGTAGAACAGTGGTTGCCAGGGGCTGAGGAGAGCGGGGGGAGGGAACAAAGTTATTATTTAGTAGGTTTAGAGTTTCAGTTTTGCAAGATGAAAAAGAGTTCTGGAGATGGACAGTGGTGATGGTTGCACAAAAATATAAATGTACTCAGTACCACTGACCTGCATACTTAAAAACTGCCAACATGGTACATTTTATGCTATGTGTATTTTACCACAATTTTTAAAAATTGGAAAAAAGAAAAGGGAGAAAAAGGAACAGCTTGAACACTAAGACTCTCAGCTATGATATTAGCATTGTATCATCAGAGCCAAAAGAAGCTACATAATAGATGTTGTACATTTTTATGCCCAACCCCCAATTTTCCTTCTGCTGAATGAAGCATCTTTCTCTGCCACTGAAAACTAGCATTTTCTTATAAATCATTAGCCCAAAAAGTCAGTGACTTTCAGCAGTTAGTCCACTAGAGACCACTGCTAGGCAGAGGAGGCGAACAGCACCATTGTGTTGTGAAGAGAATGCACCCCTCACAACCAAATACCCCCACGTGGCTTCAGCATCTCCCCCAAAGAAAAACAGACCCCTCCCAACAGATTTCTTTTCCAAATTAAATGTGTAACTTTTAGCTGTTATTGGTACCATCAGCATTAAATTTGGGGGGCGGAGGGGTGGATTCCATTATAGATACTATCATCTTTATTTTCTTCCAAATGAAATTTAGATTTCCCCCCTGAATTTTAAAATGAAGATACCTATTTCATGCAATAATCAATTCCCAAGATCAAAGGAAACCAGTTTTTCACCATTTTTCCCAATAATTTGCCATTTGTTATGATTTACAAGAGCACACTCACCCATACATTACCCTAGGAAATCATTTTTAAAGATCTTTCATCACTTAACTTTGGTACTTTGGACCTAAAATTACTTGTCAGTCAGGATTTAAGAAAAACACTATAAAACTGCTTAACTGTTCTAGGAATTTTTTTTAATAGGCTTACTTTATGAGAAAGATATTTTCAAAATTATCTATTTTTTTAGCTAATACACCTCTTCATCATTTTGTAATTCTGCTGGACAACTAGGGCATTTCATGAGTCTCTTTAGAAATTCTGGCTTAGAGTCCTAGACTCCTAGAGCATGCGTTTTTGAGCTATTCTTGGTATTTCCTAGGGTCTATCAGAAACTGAATGTTTATACCCAGAAAGGCAGCATAAGCTAAGTGAAATTTCAAAAATTTTTATTTTGGGTTGGAATTATATCAACTCAGTTTAGAAATGCTGGTTATCTCACACTGATTATTAAGGTCTTTAATTTTCAAAATGAAAACAAAATTTTGTATGATAAATCCAATTCATCAAATGAATTCTTTCAAAATGGGTTCAGTGGCAAGTGATAAATAGATGGAAAGCCAGGTCTACATGCACAGAATTAGAACTGAGAGAGAGACGAGGCAAAAATATTATCTGCAGTTTTAGAGACAAAGAACAGAATGAGCAAACATTTCACCCAAGATTTCTGGATGATTTCTATGACTATTTCCCTGGGTACCAGCTGCCTTTGAACACAGATCTGCCTGATGGAGTCTTAGGCACACTCCTTGGAAACCACAGAACACCCAAAACGACAATCACCAGGACAGAAATACCTAGAAAAAAATAAGCCAGGGCCAAATACAGTATCTTGGATTTGAATGACTACATGGTCATATAAAGAACTGTCAATCCAAGAAAAAAGTCTCCACAAGACATGTTTTCTACATATTTACTTGTAAATCTAAAGTCAGGGAGACTGAGGGCCTTAGCACTCATGCATCAGCAATGAGACATGGTATAAATGAATTAAAAAGTTTATTAGCCATAGAAAAAAAAAATGATTCCTTAAAATACCTCATTAGGTTCCCTGTAAAACAGTGAGCTTACAGAAAATTTCTTTCTCATGAACAGAAAATCACTATGCTTTTGGTCCAAGATAAGTTGGGTTTTTTTCCTTTCTTCTTCAGATGACAGGCAGATGGATGTAGCCGAATCTATGAACGAGTGTACTTGCCCCAAATGTGCAACATAAATACAGAAGCGATGAACAGAAGACTCATAACCAATACTGGAACAGGGCCACTAGAAATAGGAAGAGAGGCATGCTTAGTTTTAGTAATAATACATTATTATATTTGTAATATTAAAGAATGCCTAGAGGAAAGGGAGGGGGGAAAAAACCCTAAGATCCATCTAAGAATATTATTTACATCATTTAAAAATATTCCCAGAATTATTACTGTGGATATTTTGAAGATGTGGTGACGGCACTGTGGTTATTTAGAAAGGAGGAATCCTTATCTTTTAATAAAACATACTAAAATATATACAAGTACAATGATCTGGTGTCTTGAAGACAATAGTCTTAATTTCATATATTTGATATCTTCCATAGTAAAAAGTAGTAAGAAAAATTTCCCAAACTCTTTAAGTGCAGATGATCCAATTACCAAACTGTTTCAAATTAAGATTTAAAAGCAACTTTCATTGTCTAACTACAATACTCGAGGCATACAAAGATGAATATCACATAAGTTTTGAAACATTTTCAAATATATGATCCTATGTGATCAAAAAACTCCAGACACAGGCAAAACAAATATGAATCTCATTTCGTAAGTAAGGAAAACTGAGGCTCAGAGAGATTATTACTTGCCTAAGAACACAGAGCCAGAATGGAAAGGAAGGATTTGAACTTAGGTTTTCTGATTCCACATGTATTGCTCACTTTATGGCTTCAAGGTTCTCATATTTAAAGAGCAAACATTCTAGGCAACATTAGTTAAAAGTCTGATTTATAAAGAGATTATCATAGGAAGGAAATAGATTTCACTCATCAGCCCTTCCCTAGTTAAATGCTTTCCAGGTTGAGAGTAAGGAAGAACTCCTTGATTTTACACAACATGTGAATACTGACTTCAGTCAAAGGTTACGGGCCTCGCCTTTTTGACTCTTCTTGCCAACACCGGTTTTGGAGAATTCAAGATGTCACCTCACCTCCCAGATACAACTAAGGGTGGACAATGGAAAAGACCCCAGAAATCTTTATAATTAAGGCAGTGGAGTAACCCAGTGGAGCAGCAGGTAACGGAGTCAACTGGCGGACAGTCAGCAAATACGCAGAGATCCAAGTCCTTGCTACACTATTTTGTTTTTCTAAAATTTACACAACTACGGGAGTAAACAGATTAAAAGTACATAGGAAGAGAGCCTCATCATGCTGCACTGGATCGTAACTCCCTTACTGTAAAGCACCATGAGAGTATCATCAACCACAGAGCATAAGGCTGAGTGCAGCTCTCAGAGTCCAAGTGCTGGAGTCTGGAAACCAGCTCTGTCCCTCACAACCTGTGACCGCAGCCCCGTGACTCACCTTTTCCAAGCCTCATTTTCCTCATCAGTAAAGTGGGGATAATCATATCACCTCTTTCATAAGGTTGCTGATCTATTAAATAAATCAACACACACACAGTGCAGGTTTCTAGTAAGCTCTCAGCAAATGCTATTATTATCAACCTGAAAAAAAAAATCTAAACTCCCAGGAAGAGCCAATAACAAGCTCCAAGATGGTACCTGACTGCTCCAAGATGTGAATTTGTGGATATGATTTCCCAACTGTGTCCTTTCACCAAAAACATCTCTCTCTGATGTGATGAAACTGTCATTCATGACACTTCAAGGAATAGCTACTATCGATTCGTGGGAGGACTCACAGTAGCAGCAAGCAAGCCTGGCTGCACAGCAGTCCAGAGAAGTCACAAGCCACACTCATCCACAGGAAAACAGTTGTTTCACCCACCCAGGATTTAAAATGTTGTCCCCTGGATACTCTGAATAGCAAGGGGCTTCAAAATTTCCCTCTGAAATACTCGGAAAAATTACCTCTAACAGGGACCAAAAGGCTGCCAACTCACATATCCCCAACCGCAATAATTACTTCCTAAATACATTCTCACCTTATAAGTCTGCAATATAACAGCAAAAAAAAAAAAAAAATCATTATATAAAGCCAAAGAATTCTAGGGAAGTCTTCCTAACTTGAAATTTGTGATTTAGGTCAAGCTACTGGTCAAGTTAATTAAACTAATCCAAGTAAATCTAACTTTGTCTCTTTGCTTCCAGGCAGTATGGAAAAACCATGAGATTTAACAGTTGAGAGTTTCTGGTTCCAGCTCTTGCTCTTGCTAGCGTTTGTCTCTGACACATAGCTTTGCCTCTCTGAACCTAAGTTGCTATACTGATGAGAGTTGCTGTCATTATTCCAGTTCATCTACTGGATTATTCAGGAACAGCTATAAGCAGTGGTGTCCTGGAGCCTACCTGGTCATAAACCTGTGGGATCCGGTCTGCCACATAGTACCCGGAAGGTGGGAAAGTGAGGTGAGCAAGGCATGGGGACAGAGACCCCCAAATGCCCATTTCTCATCACCTAATGAGTATTCCCAGGCCTAAGAACTTGGAAAGTGATAGAGGTCTAGTTACCACCCACACAAAGGCAAGGAGGCCAAAGGACTTTTGGTAACACAGCCTAATGCAGAAGCTCCCATTAGGCTGTAATATCAGCTTGTGCCTCCAGGAGAGCTTTGAAAAATCACCCTGCTCCTATTCAAATGGTAGCTCCTATTTCTCAGTGAGGGACAAGAACACTAAATGAAGAGCAATTTCACCTAATTAAGCCGTTTTCCCTCCAGTTCTCTCTGTTCCCATCATTTATTTTGACAGAGCTACATGAAGATGTTCCCTTGCTTTCACTCAATCCATGAAGAGATGTCATTCCACGCCATGAACTAACTAGCTGATGGATGGACAAGCCAAACTTAGACCACCTGGCACAAAGGAAGCTGTTGTGTGTTACAAATCTCATCAAACACCACTGGGGGCAGAGAGAGCGAGTGCTGCCAAAGGGCCCTGGGATACTGGGCAGAAACACGAGGTCTGCTCCCAAGACTTACACTTTGAGCCCAGGTGAATCTTCTGTGTAGAATCGCCACATCCCCCCGGTGCCTGCTGAGGTCGTGCGGCCTGCACTCCTTGTTCCGCAGCTGGCATTTTTCCTGTAAGAGAAAAAATGTTACAAATGGCCTTTTCTTGGAAACCCTTATAAGAGCATTATAACATATGCTACTACTCCACTGTTAAAGAACCAAAAAAGGGAAAACTTTTTCTTTGTTAAAAAACCCCAAATTCTTGCTTTTACTTCGCTGACCATGATAACCACCAAGAACTGAGTACCTGCTATACATTGATGCATATAGCAACACAGAGAAGTAGTTAGCAGCTCCTTTTTATAAATGAGGAAAATGAGGCTCATAAAAGGGTAAGCAAAGTGCTGAAGACCACACAGCAAGCAGATGGCCAAGCTCCACTGTGGACCCAGTTCTGACCTCAGAGCCCATCCACTTGCCACACACTTGGGCGCTCCATTTGGACGATGCACTTCAGTTTCTCTTCATATGTATTTTTATGAAGTCAAGTAAAAAATTCCTGCTCAAACATACCCTGAATCCATATAATCTGATTTTAAAATGACAACTTTAAAATGTTTTTAAATAACTGTATTTGCTACAAGAGACAAAAAACATAAAGCTGTAATTGTAATTCAGGGAGAAACCAGAAGTGAATACCCTGTCTCCACCACCTCTGGTCATAATCCCCCCTCACCCTGCCACGGCCTTTACTGCACACTGAATGCAAGCAGCACTGGTCTAGAGCTCAGGGAGCCTGCCCTGCTGTGTGAAGTGGGGGGGTGGAGTCCTGGTTCCAGGATGGGCTCCAGCAGAAAGAGCAGTGCTCATGCTAGAACTTTGAAAACAGTTAGTGTCAAGCAACGGTTTACACATACTGTACTAAAAAGATTATATTTCAGATATGTTAGTTATGAGCTACATGGTTGCCTTCAAACTTCTAACTCCATTTGTACAACTGTTTCTATGGGAAAACTGATTGTAGACATAATTGTACAGGGATTTACACAGTAATTCATACACTTAGAAGAGATTTCACACAGAGATACACATCTAATTGTGGAGTAGATGCCTGAAATCTTCCTCCTTGATCATAAAAAGGAATTTGAGCTAGATGGTAAACCCTGCATGGATGTAAGTTATCAGCTGAGCCAAGACTAGGACCCATGCACTTTCCACTATTTCCACAACCACCCAACTCCAGTTTCTGTCTTCAAGTCTCTAGGAACCCCCAAGGAATCAGTCTGGCCTCTTTGAAGATTTCTTATAGCACACAGGACATAGCAGAGGATTTGATAATCAGGGCACCTAGAAATACCAAAATATTTCCCATTCCCCCATTTAGGAAGTTAGGTAGAGGTTAATAGAGCTCATTTTTATCTCTTTAATTTCTATTTGGGGTCTATTTCACCCTTTCTTTCTGGTCACTATGTAACTGCCTCCCTAATCCTATTCCCTAAAACAATGGTTTTCATAGCAACCTTTTAATGTACTTGGTTCTAACATGGTAGCATCCTGATTGTTCTCGAAGAAGCCAAGCTCATTCCCACCTTAAAGTCTTTACACTTAACCATTCCTCTTGCCTAGAAAGCCTGTTCCTTCCTTAACCATTCCATGATTTGCTCACTTGCCTCTTTTTGGCCCCTACCCACATATCACCTACTCTGAACACCCTATCCCCATCCACTCTCTATCTGCCACCCAACTTTATTTTTCTTCTTAGCCTTATTGCCTGAAATTACAGTATTTATTTATTTGCCTTGTTTATGGTCTCCCACACTGGAATATAAGGTTCCTGAGGTCAAAGCCTGCCCAGTTTGTTCAGATACAGCCTCATGACTGGAACAGTGCCTGGCATTACTCTGAATCACTATTTGATGACTATCTTAATATCCCTAGCTAGTCTACCATTTTACTATCCTTGATTCCCATTAATCCTGAACACGGTAGCACTTTACAGCTTACGATACAGTATTGCTCCTTTTCATCCTAGCAACTTCCTTTTATACTGTAGTAATGGAGTGAGGGCTCCAGCCCCAGCCTGAATTTACATCCCATATAGTTTATTCTCCAAGGTACCACCTGTTACCGCATAGAAAATGCAAATCTGTGCACTACATAATCCACAGCATTATTATTAACTACTAGCTTCAGTTTTTTCTTACAGACTGACAAAGCAGGAATATATTCTTAGACAGCCAATACTTACTACACTGTACTCATGAAGTAACACTTAAAAGAGTACCAAAATTCTAGAAGGGAACTCTGTAGGTCTCCCAATACATACAACCCTGGCCTGTCTAGTTACACTAGCCCCAATCATAGTGAATTCTAAAAGATGACACCCACAACTTGAAAAGCATCTTTCCTCAAACATTTGTTTCTCCATTTCACTTGTGCTGCAGTTATTTCATCTTTATTAAGAAAATAAGTTATATTTGATAAATATATGATTTCTCTTTTTATCCTTTAAAAGTTCTCAGATGGCCAAACTTCCCTGCCACAGTACTACCAGTTCTCATTAACTAGACTGACTCCCCAAGGAACTGTACCTACAGGACATGTTTTCCAACACAAAGAATCTCTGAAATCCAGGGTGGGAACAAGACAGCACTCCAGGTTCAAATAACCTACACCACAGCTTGACACACTTTCCAGCTTGTCCATCCCAGCCTTGCCTTGAACATCTTGATGACAGGGAACTCACAATCGTTCAGGATCATCTTACCATTTCTGATGGTTCTATTGGAATTTTTTGTTCCAGGCTGAAATCTGTCTCAAATCATCAGTTTTAGATTTACCTACTGTAGCCAACAAGAAATGTCTCATCCTTCTTCACATCCTTAAGGACAGTTTTCATGTAGATAAAACCCCACTGGTTCCTTCAAAAAGCCCAAGACTACAAGTGTGGCTTGATTCCTTCCTTCTGTCATTATTTACTGTGTCAGGCTTTATGGTAGGATAGAGATGACAGGCAGTTGCTGTCAGGGTCTAATGAAGCAGATAAATATGGAAACAAATGCTATTCGAAGGATATGGGCAAGGTGCTTTGGAATAAAAGTGAAGACTAGTACCTATTGCTGCCTTTGGAATCAGGAAGGCCTCAAAAGGAAATAACTCCTGAACTTAGTCTTGGAGAATAAAGAGAAATGGAAGGGGGTGGGAGTGTCTGCTGAGTTCAGAAAACAGTAATAAGCTCACTATGGTTAGTTCAAAGGAGAGAGGGAGAAGAGAGGCAGTTAGACTGGAAAAAAGAACCACCCAAGGGCATTGGTATTCCCCTCCCCACTTTTTTTTTAAGTTCAGCAACAAGAAATGGACATAGAAACTAAGCAGAAGTGTGACAGAATCAGAGCGTTAGAGTGGAAATGACCTGGAGAGGAGAAAAGTTAAGTAGCAAATGCAAAGATCTAGATGAGCAAAGTTGAAAGCTAAAATGAGGCAGCAGGAATGGAAAAGGAGAAAACCGGTAAGAAGGTTTTCATGTAAAATTTAAGTGTACTGGACAGAGATGGAGCATTTAAAATAAATCCAATGAGGCTGAAGTTCTGGCTTTGGATGAATAAGTTTACAGCAGTGCCATATGGACGTAGGAGATACGAGGATATAATTGGGGGCGGGGCGAGAGCTGGGGTAAAACGAGAGACTAAGGTGCGCAGCAGACAACCCATGTTAGATTTAGTATGTAGAGGACTTAACAGATATAAATATGAGTGTAAATCTTAGGTCTAGAGACCCCAACTTAATAACATCAATTTTCTCAATGCTGTCTCTGACCTTACTCCAGTTTGTTAACTTTCCTTTTTTAAGAGTGGTGCCCCAAAGTGAGCAACGCAAGGAAAATGCTGCCTTCCTCTCGATATAAACGACCAAAAACATCTTTTAAGTGCCTTTACAGCCACATCACCCATAGCTCGTTTTGCCCTTGTAAATCTTAACATCCCGGCGTCTCCTTCTCAGGACCTACGAATTCTTAGGCCCCATCCCTCCGAGTCCACAGTCGAGAGGGTGGTAGGGATTCTTACCTCTGCCGGACCGTGGATCCTGCCGCCCGGGCGGCCACTGCTTTGCTGGGAGAGCGCCCTGATGCGCCCACATTAGTGCCACTGGGGTTCGGACCAGGCTGTACAGGGAGACAAAGAAAGAAACACGTTAGCGACACCGGCAGCCCCCAGATCCCAGGCCCTGACCGCGGAGACCGGGACCTGAACGGGAGGCTGAGGAAAGCAAGGGAACGCGGAAGGACAAGGCTAAGGCTGGAATCGGACACCTGGGAGAAGCCGGGACAAGGCGGGATGACTGGGGGCACATACCATGCTGGATACAGTGGGGTGGCAGGGACCTGAAGTAGACCGTGGAGAAGCGGCAAAACCCCGAAAGGACTGGCGGCCGGTGAGACTGGTTCAGGTCCCGCCCCCAGACCTGCTGGCAGGGTCCTCGCTGACTCTAGGGACGCCTGGGTTGTCCCACTATTATGCCTGTACGAATTTTCCTACAGGTGACTTGGTGAGCAGCTGTATGGGAATTACAGACCTCTCATATTTTTCCCTTGGATCACAGCGTCCTTCCTAGACTCCAGTCCCTACCAGTGAGAGAATCTAGCCATGGTCAGACGAGAATTTTCTCCGGCGGTTACTAGGCGCCCACAGATATGCGCTGACGTGGCCTAATCGACGCACGCACCGAGGCGCGCCGTCGGCCCCTAAAGGGCCAGCGGGGAGGCTGAGGGGAGGAGCATGCGCGGAAGCCCCTGAGGGAACCGGGCGTAGGCCCCGCTTCCGAACCATGGCGGAGCAGGGCCAAGACGAGGACCCCGGTCCTAACCCGTCAGTGCTGTTCCTGCACCCGGATCTGGGCGTGGGCGGCGCCGAGCGGCTGGTGCTGGACGCGGCACTGGCGCTGCAGGCGCGCGGATGTAGCGTAAAGATCTGGACGGCGCACTACGACCCTGGCCACTGCTTCTCCGAGAGCCGCGAGCTGCCGGTGCGCTGCGCCGGGGACTGGCTGCCCCGCAGCCTGGGCTGGGGCGGCCGCG